CCATGCACATCCCAAGGTTCAGCCCCCACTTACTTCTAGGTAGTAGCTTATGGGTTGGTCCAGCTGGCTCCCTGTACTGCACCATGCAGCCCCACACCCGAGCCAACCCCATATTTGGTTTCCTCCCATAGAATGCTTCATGTGGGGTCATATCTGCTGCCAAGCCCTTGGTAGGTAGCCTGTTCTTGACCCAACAAGCCATCCCAAGGCATCTCCCCAGAACTTGAGTGGTAATCCGCTGTCCGACAGCAATGTCCTTACACAGTCCAGCAGTGACCTATTCACCCTCTCTGCTATGCTGTTGTGCTGTGGAATGTAAGGCACAGTCAACTGCCTCAGAATTCCCTTGGAACGCAGGTAGCTGTTGAACTCCTCATTGACAAACTCCCCACCATTGTCAGTCCTCAGCACTTTCAGCTGCTTTCCACTCTGCCTTTCTGCCTCCACCATCCATTCCACAAAACTAGAGAAGACCTCTATTTTATCCTTGATCTCAGTCACCCACGTGTGCCTAGTTCCTAGGTCTAAAAAGGTCATGAAGTATTTGCTCCCGCGCCTGGATGCCACCCTCAGCAGCCTACACACATCAGCTGCTACTATCTCCAGCGCTCCATATGGCTCTTGTACCCGATGCTTGGGTTGGGGGGATTTGGTGATTTGTAGCAGCCGCTGCTGCCACCATCGATATCACTTCCTTCTGCAACTCCTCTACAGGAACACTTTTCAAGCTCGCCCCCAGCTCCTCCCTTGCCAGCACCCCTTCCTTTGTCGGTGGCTGGTACGTAACCTTCTCAGCTGTCATGCCCTTCTCATTCAACATCATTTCATACAATCCATTCTTCAGCATCCCCTTAGCAACCACATTCCACGCATGGTCAAACATCCACACGTTGCCCTTGTTACTGAATGTCTTGCATCCACTGTGTCAAGCTGTGACTGACTGATCAAGTTCAGTGACAAACCATCAACCAGCAGCACATTCTCCAGTTTCAATTCCCCATACTGCCCTTGCAAAATCAGATCTCCCTCTCCCTTCACAAGCAATTTCCTATCATCCCCCACAAGCACATACGACACACTTGACGCCCTCAAACCATTCAGCCACTCACTATGATAAGTCATGTGCTGGATGCACCCACTGTCCATATACCATGCAGCTTCTCCACCCCCTTTTGCCATCAGGCACACTCTTGATGCACACACCATGTTCGCCTTGTGTGCTCCACGCAAAATAACATCGGCTTCCCCCTTTTCTGCTTCAGCTGCATGTGCCTTTGCTGGTGCTGAACCTTGCTGCTGTATTCCCCTATAACTCTGACCATTGGGGTTCGAGTAGCAATCGATCGCTCTATGCCCTATCTTCTTGCAGTGGAGGCAAACTCCAAAGAACTTTCCCCTCTGCTGCCTAATATCTCCTCTACTACCCCCTTCCCCACTCTGCTGCACTCCACTCCATCCCATACCAGCAGAACCTTTCCCCCTTGTTGTTGCGGCGTCTCGGGTTATCATAGCATTCAAATGCCTTATGCCCCATCTTCCCACAGTGGAAGTATGCACCCATGCCTCTCCCTGCAGCTACTGCATTCACCATCAAAGGCTTCTCCTTCTCCACACCTGCAGCCCCATTGTCTCCTTCGACCGCTTTCTCCCTCCGCTTCACATCCTCCTTGGATATCGCCAAGGCTTGCAGCATTTCCAGAAGTCTCGTCAAATTTGCAAGTGGATTGCAAATCAATGGCGGTCGATCTGCTGCCCACTCCTTCGAGAGACCATTGACAATGTATCCCATCATCGCCTTTTCGCTCTCCTCAGCTCCCATTGCAGCCAAGTCGTCGTTGTCGCTCTTGGCTCGATTGATGTACTCAATGACGGCTTCCTTCGGCTCCATGCTCATAAGCAATAGCTTCCTCCTCATTGCAGCGATGTTCATCTCCATTTGGCCGAGGTAGGCTGACTCCATGTACGCCCATGCCATTTGAGCCGGATTCTTCAAGCCTGGAAAAAAATCTAGGCCCACAAAAATTCCTTCAGAAACAGAATGGCACGCATGGAAGAATGCTTGCTCACACCTTTTCTGATATGCTGAATCCTCCTCTTGGTTGCTTGTAGTTTCTTCTCCTTCGGCCTTCTCACTCCGACGGTAGACTTGCCATAATCCTACCTCCTTCGCCCTCCTTATGAACTTTAAATGCCATGTACTGTAATTGCTGCCATTAAAACACTGGGCTTCATTAAGCCCTATCGTCGGTTTCGCTACCAACGATCCTTTCTCAAAGAGCCTTAACCTGAGGGTGTCCAATGCTCTCAGAGGAGCCCAAACTATCCTCTCCATTATCGCCTGTCATGCTGGAGGCTTCGTCCTACTCTTTAGAATGCTGCAACGCCCTTACACCCGGCTCCACTTGGCGCACTAAATAGAGTCGTGGAGAAAATTCACCAGCACTCCGACGCTAACTCTAACCCCAGTTCTAGGCGACTATTGCCTCCGGCACTGCAAAAATTATTAAGAAATACTCTTGCAAATAGCCTCAAGGGCCTTTCCTCCAAATGTGATCCCAAAGTAGCTGCTAATAGTCAATACGAAATGACAGCAGTTTCCACTTGAAACAATTAGATATAAAGCACAAATATTTAAAAAGATTTGTAGTGGAAGTACAAGCAATTTTGTAAGGGATTTTTATTCCTTACCAGGTTGTAGTGCAATTGCGTAGAACCGAACTCTTGGAAGACCAGGCTCGGTCCGATTCCGACGCAACCCCGAGGCTGGCTCGCGCCGCCTCCGGACCTTTCGACCGCGCCTGTACCCAACCTAGCCCTCCGGGCTCGCCGCCTAGCTAGAGTCCTCGCTATATAATGCTAGGCTCCCATTCTTGTACTCATCATTATTGTTCACGCACTCTCGGTTATTATTTATAACATTTGTATCAAAGCTACTTTCCTGGTTCACTCCGCTTTCTCAGGGTGGTTTATTTCCAAGGCGTGGTTGACCCTACAGGGCTGCAAAGCGGTTGACCGTGAGCTAGAGTTATTAGCTCACACAACTACGATAGCGTTTGCGCCCCCTGCAGTTTCTAACCACGGCCTTCCCTCTGCCCGAAAGGCGAAGCTTACGCATCATGACTCAGGCCCAGCTAGACGAGGTTATGGCTCAGATGCAGGCAATGCAAGGACAGATGGCGAGTTTGAACAGTGAAGTCATGAGACTTCGGACGGAGAACACTGAGCTTCGTCAGACGCGTGGTGAAGCGCGTCAAGAGTCATCCGGAGTCGCAGAGAATGATGTCAACCAAGATGCCAACGACCAGGCGAGCGAAACCGTCCTTGACGAGCTCGCATGAGAGTTGGAGCATTACAAAGCGCGCATTGTAACCAGGACGAAGATCAAACTCAAGCCGGCCACGCCGCCCCTGTTCAACCCTTCTGACAAGGCGACAATTGTGCAAGGGTGGCTGTTCAGCATGGAGTTATTCTTCATGGCTGCAAGTGTCAACGTGGACAACGCGCACATTAATTATGCCGTGTCGCTGCTCCAAGGACCGGCGTTGGATTGGTAGCGACGTCAATTGGCGATTGGGACTCCGGCAGGCATGAATCAGGCGAAGGACGGGACTTCGGATTCTTCCAACCAACAGGCAAAAACGATATTCGGTACGACCATGATTCGCACATGGAAACAGTGGGGCACAGTCTTGCGAGCTCACTTTGAGCACTCGTCCGCCTTAGATGATGCTCTCATGAAGCTGCGCGACTGGCGGCAGGTGACTATCGTTCTCTGCACGTGTGGACCAAGTGGACGACCTCAGAAAAGCAGAAAGACGGGACAAATATATCAGCGGGCTGCATTTTGACATTCAGTACGAGTTGCAGCGGTCCCGGCCCAAGACATTCGATGAAGCTCTCCAGCTGGCGTCAGCAGCCAATGCACTGCAGTAGTGGGCGAGAAAGAACAACACGGATGTTGGTCATTTTCGTGGACAGTCTCCCCGCTCCACGATCAATGGCATGTCTGCGCCCGATGAAGTATTTCACGGGCTATGTTATAGATGTGACAAGCCAGGTCAGCGAGCTAAGTACTGCCCGATGGCACCCAAGAAGACGAAGAACAAAAACGAGAAGCCGGGAAATGGGAAAAGTCAGTAGCAGACAAGCCCCCTACTGATGAGGCTTTTTCGCCCGCACTTCAGCGTTCCCACCAAGTTGTGGTACCGATACATGCTATCAACCGAACTCGGACGGATAACAAGGGCAAACCTGAAGATTACTCAGTGCTGGTCGAAGGCAAGGTTAATGGTAAAAAAATAAAACTATTTGTGGATGGCGGGGCTGGTCACAGCCCGATCCATGTGACAGCAGCGGAGCAGTTGAAGTTGACATTAGAGAAGTGCTTACCCAAAATTGACACGTGACTGGTGGACGGGAACACCACTTGCGATTCGGGAACGAGGGCGCATGGTGCGGATGAAGTGTGGCGTCGATTTCGGATTCCGAACGCGATTGGCTGTGAAAATACAACCCGATGATCGATTGGACAACTGGCGAATGCAGCATGAACTGTGCAAACGGGTGGTGCGTACTTCCGTGCTAGCACGGGCGAGATCCGGTATCGTCACGTGTCAACGCCATCACCCTCCAGCAAGCAGTGCAATAGCGGAGCTGATTTGTACGTTGTTCATCTGAACGAAGCAACGATTGACGAAAAGACGGACAATGACACGCTCTGTGCCAGTATCCCTGACGAGCTCGCTGCGCTGATTTGTTAGTACCCGGATATTTTTCCGGATGACCTGCCAGCCGGATTGCCACCTGAGCGCCCTCAGGGCCACAAAATCAACCTTGAACCTGACGCACTGCCAACCGCCAGGACACGGTGGCGGCTGACTCAGCCCGAGCTCACGGAGTTGCAAAGCCAGCTGGATTACCTACTGGAGAAGGGGTCTATTCGGCCCAGCACGTCCCCGTTCGCAGTGCCCATTCTTTTTACACCCAATAAAGACGGAGGGCTCTGAATGTGCATTGACTATCGGGCGCTGAATCGGCCAATCATCAAATCTCGTTACCCAATCCCACGGGCGGATGATCTCCTGGACCAACTTTGCGGGGCTCGCGTCTTCTCCAAGATTGACCTGCGATGCGGTTACCATCAATTCCGAGTTTTTGCTGATGACTACCACAAGACGGCGTTAAGAACCCGCTATGGCAACTACGAGTACACGGTGATGCCATTTGGCCTCACAAACGCGCCCTCTAGATTCCAGCTGACCATGAATGGCGTGTTCAGAGATCTACTCGACAAGTGTGTCATCGTCTATCTGGATGACATCCTTATCTTCAACAAGATACCGGAACAGCACCTCAAAGACCTCGATACGGTTTATCAACGGCTGCAGCAGTACCGGCTCATCACCAAAGGCTCTATGTGCGAGTTCCTAATATCCGAACTAGAAATTTTGGGACATGTCGTTGGAGCGGGCGGCATTAAAATCGACCTAAAGAAGATCGCCACCATCTGCGACTGGAAGCCGCCCACGAGTTTACAGGAGCTGCAGAGTTTTCTTCGGTTCGTTAATTACGTCCGGTGCTTTATCCCCAATATGGTAGGGACAACCGGACCATTAACTGCCCTGATGCGGAAGCGAACTTCATTTGAGTGGGGGGAGAGACAGCAGGCTGCTTTTGACGAACTCAGAAATTTTCTGAAGTCACCACTGGTCCTTCGAATCGCTTATCTATCTCGACCGTTCAAAGTCTTGATGGACGCTAGCGATTTCGTTATCGGCGCGGTACTGTTACACGATTTCGGTGACGAAATCCAACCAATCGCATACCATTCTAGAAAGATGCATGCAGCCGAGCGCAACTACCTCGTCCACGAAAACGAAGTACTCGCCATCGTGCACGCGTTTAAAGCGTGGCGAAGCTACTTGACAGGAGCCGACGTGACAGTACGGACAGACCCGGCAACTGCCCCAATCCTGCTCGATGGGAAGAATTCCTGCCAGTGCTGGAATTTTCCTACAACAACGCCCCATACACAATGACTAATCACTCATCTTTCTTCCTCAATACGGGATGGATCCCAACGTACCCACGACGACCAACATCGAAAATCCCATGCCCCGCTCCCAGCAGTTTTTTAATGACCTATAGACTGCCCGGGAAAAACAAATTGGATTTATTCACAAATCCAATAGCACAGCCTGACGCTATACCGACCTGCATCGGCGAAATATTACGATGGCCGTGGGGCAACTAGTCCTTCTCGACACGAAGAGCCTCCGCCTGCCCATGCCATCTAAACTCCGCCTAAGATTTTGTGGGCCTTTCCGCATCTTCAAGATCGTGACACATGTCACGGCGAAATTACTACTTTCGGACGAGTGGCGCATTCACGACGCATTCCACGTCAGCCTCCTTTGTCCCTACGTCGCCAGCACATTAGCAGTCGCATGATCAGCGGTCGTCCCCGGTTTCCACCCGATGGCCAAACCGACCCTTGAGCCTTTCTGACTTTTGAGTCATCGTGTTTGCCTCGACACCACCGGATGCCACGTGGATGTTCTTGTCCGCTGGGCCGATTGTACAAGCTAAGACGACACGTGGGTCACTTCCGATTAGCTTCAGGAACACTCGGTGCTCAAATCTTATTTGTCCCAAAAAGGCATTCTCGATATTGACCACCTTGCTTAAGAGGGGGGGTAGTGTAAGGAATTTTATTCCTTACCGGGCTGTACTGTAATTGCGTACACCCGAACTCTCGGAAGACCAGGCTCGGCCCGATTCCGACGCAACCCCGAGGCTGGCTCGTGCCGCCTCTGGCCCTTTCGACCGCGCCTGTATCCAACCTAGCCCTCCGGGCTCGTCGCCTAGCTAGAGTCCTCGCTATATAATGCTAGGATCCCATTCTTGTACTCGTCATTATTATTCCGCGCACTCTCAGTTATTATTCATAACAAATTTCGCGCATCGTAACTGCCTTTGAGCTGCAAGTAACTCGCGCGCCTCGTGTCATGCCAAGTAGCACACGCAACCGCGACTTTCTTGCTGAACATGCCACTGGTCCGAAGTCCGAATGCTTGTTGAACACGCCCCGTCCGAAACCCAACTTTTGACCCACGTCAATTTGTTTCTCGCCACTTCCTTTCCTTTTCTTCCACCCCATCACTCTTTCCTCCAACCTTCTCTCTTGCTTCTCTCTCGCTTCCCCATTTTTCCGTGCGTCGCACGCTCATGCAATCTCCTCCTTTCCCAACTCCTTCTCCTCCCTAGTCCGCACTTCTCCTTCCGTCTCCCCAAGTCACGAGTAATCCGTCGTGGGTGGCGGAACCACTCCAACAGATCGGACGGTACGAGTGGTGCCTCCGCTCGGTTGACTCCGAAGAGGCGGAAGAGAAACATGGCTTACTACCAACAAACAATCTTTGCAAGTAAAGCTTCTTGAACAAGAGCCAATGCTGGAGCGGAAAGAGGCAACGGAGGGACGAGGGGAATGTGATGGGGGAAACGGGAGAAAATGTGACGATGCCCTCGCTACTGTTACGATGGAAGGAATGGTGGTGAAAACACTGCAACGGATTCTACCTTGCAACACCAATCGAGCTGGTTTAGTACGGTGCAAAATGTTTCAAATCGGTAGGCAATGATTATACATATTTAGGGGCCTTACATCCGCAACCTGGCTACAACACCCTACAGCATGAACATGATTGGCATGCCAACCGAATGCCGTTATTGCATAGAAATGCCTAGACAAAGCACCGTACATGAACATGTGAATGCAGCACACGAGAAGCTGCAGTGACTCATGGTGTTTCAAAGTGCTTGCTCATTTGCTGATGAACATTGTTGATGCGACCAAATCACTTGGTGATTATGAGGGTACATGTCGTAGTTGACGAGAACGCAGGTGTGACATGGTGGCGAGGAACGGGACTGGAATTGCCAGCGGCTGGGAGAGACTGTGCGAAGCCTGCTACTTTTGCAGTGGCGAACGAAGGAGCGACGTCGATGTGAAGGCAAGCAGCAACGTCAGGGACAATGTAGAAGGTAGCTTTGCAGTTGTTATTTACCACGACGGGTTCATCGATGTGAGCCGCGATGTGCTCGTATTCATCGGATGGATCCCATGCTTGAGCGTTGCCATATGTTTTGTCGCTGATGCGCATGTTCCTTCGATTGCTTCTCCTGTTCCCCCTTCTGTTGCCGATCCCCATCCCCCTGCTGACCCTGATCCCCATCCCCCTACTGATTCTGCTCCCCATCCCCCTTCCTCTGTTGCTCTTCAACCTTGTGCAAATGTGGGAGCAGCCTCAGAAACTTCAGATTCGGGTGCGAATGAAGCCGGGTAGGATGGTTGAGGTGTTGCGCGAAAGGTGGTGAAGTCGCGATGGTCAAGCATCTTGAGGTTGATCTCACCGCGATGATGCCACTGGGTGAGAGAGACGACGCGCTGACTGTCACCATTAGAAGACTCTTGGCTGAAGCAAAGTGGCGAGATGCCATCGTGCGTCTCAAAGGCTAATGAGATTGCTTCGACTTTCTTGGTGCGTAGGTACAGTTCAGAAAGCATGCAGTCGGCATCACTCTTAAAGTAAATGCCCGCTTCTGTCAACTTCCCTTGAGAAAGGAGGTTGAAGCAGATTCCATCGACGATGAGTACCTTGTTCAAGTGTAAGGAAACGCATGTATCGTCAAATTCGAGTAGGACGCTGCCGAGTGTTGCTGCTGTTCATTCCTGATTGTTTGCCATTATAATTGTATGCCTGTTAGGTTCTGAGAGTGCCTTCCAGTTAAGGAGGTAACACGTAGAGGAGGACACCATGTGGTGCTTGCAGCAGCTGTGGAGGGACTACGCACGAATGATGTGGGGATAACCTCTCGTCATGATGAGGGTGCATGGCACGGCTTGGTGCTCGGCTTCAGGTTCCACTTCATCGATCTCAATCAGCTGCGGGGGCGTCTCTCGTCGTGGGCACTGGCGCTCGACTAGGTATGGCAAGGACTCAGATGAGCGACCATTTCCATCGAGATCGTCCACTTCACAATGTCTTGAGTAGTATCTTATTCTGGCAGTCCAGTGTGCGCCAATCATGCAGTTGGCTATCCGTCTTGTATGATGTGCAGGTTGCGATAAGAAAGAGGCAACAACTGGTGGCGAGATAGTGTGCCATGACGTCTGGACAGCACATTCCGTGCACCTTGGCTGGGCTTCTGCTCGACGACGGTCCGTCAGCCTTTGACGATGAAGTGGCCGAGCCTCAGAATACCATGTACAAGTAATATATACATATAGAGATTTACCCAAGGACCAAAATTATATGGAACTCGTAAGAGTTGAAATTAGCGGATGAGTTAGTGATCCTTGTGCTGTAAGAACAGTAGGTTTTAGTTAAGGATAATACAATGATTAGTGCAATACGTACAATATGAGAGGTGCTTATTCTGAAGTAACATCTTTAAGAAACCTCTAGCGGAACCTCTTTCTATATGTCGAGAGACCCGCTGGGGTTGTCCTTGAGATCCTTGGGGAAGGGCTACAGGGTTCCCATTACAAGACGAAATCCGTCTGCTCATCTGAGAATCAGACTCACTTTTCCCGTGTCATCTGATGTTTTTACAGCCCATAAATTTTCATCTGAACGACCATTTTGGTTATATAAATCCATCTGAATTCTCAGAATTTGTATAGGCAGACGTCTGAATTTTCAGATAGCGTGCATATTTTCAGTCTGAGAGCGTGTTCCTACGGGGCTCTGTCTAGACTCACAAGCATAGGAAAAGGAGAAAATGAGAAGGAGAAGAAAAGGAAGTGGGTGCGAAAATATTTTCGTAGAAAAGGAGTCTCATTGGTCGCGAAGTCTGGGCACAAGCACAGGAAGCCATTCTCCTGTATAGCCAATCAAAACCGCTCGGAACTGGCGAGAATGTGCTGGCAAAGACAATCGCAACACACAATTGAGAAATATCTTGTCGATCAACGATCATGATCTCGACAATTCACCCACTCTCCTCCTACTCTGGTGGGCGGTACATTGCGCCCACCTTGTAAACTGGTTTCAACCCAAACACCCCCCTCACCCCCCCCCCCCCCCCCCCCCCATTTTGCGAATTTGGTGCAGTCCATGCCCTTCTGGCCACTCAGCCACGTGTGTTATCAGGCCTCAAACCTGCCACCCGCGGAATATTTTTGCCGCGTGGCACATCATCACCACACTACTGTAGTTTATTGTGAAGTTTTCGTGTAGAAGCTCAGATGATGCTGGACAATTCGTCTGAAAATCCAGACCAGCCCAGGTAGCTCGTCTGATGGTCAAACGGAATTTGAAACCTCGTCTAATTCTCAGACAGCCCTAGAACTCAGCAGGAACCCTGCTATAGGCCTCTCTGCCTGGGGGTTGTGGGCGCACTGACCCGCTACTTAACACGCCCTTTTAACTCAGTGGTAGGTGACTGAGTTTTGGCACTATATCCTCAGTGTCGCAACTTCTCGTTGCAGCCTCGCGCTTACACAGTTCAAACGTTGACTCGGATGATTGTTGATGTTAAAGTAAGCTAGGATCTAGGTAGGAGGGAAGCCATAGAAATGGCGAGAGGTTTTAGGCTAGGAAAGTTGAGGAGAGAAAAGGGATCGAGAATAGAAGAGAGAGGCATACAAGGAGGGGGGTTGTACCCTCTACTGTAGGTTTCAGTAACACCTACCAAGCCTATATAATTTAACACTTGCGACCCGCCCGCATCCTCTATATGAGGTTATACGGTACAGTAAATGTGCAGGTACTGTAAGAGTTGGTGTGCTTCTTATGTAGGGATATTATCAAGAATGCTCATGTGTTTCTTCGAACAACCTTCGATACAAAATTGTATAGATTAATCTCTTATTTTATTTTATTCTTGTTTCAGAGTCTTATGAATGACTGTAAAAGAAGAGGTTTCATGAAATAATCCTTAACTTATTTCAACCGATCTTTCAGTTTAGCGAGTCTAGTCATTATCCGGGTGTGTTGTGTAGGTATACACTCTAAAAAATCAGATGGAAGCGTGTACCACATATGAAGGTTCAGACAAATTATTTTCCCCAATAAAATAATAAAGCAAAAAAAACCAGTATGATTTTCAGACCAAAATCCAAGTTCTGTCTGATTAATGAGACCTTGCATGGGATGCTATTTCTTGGTTTGTGAAATTTCCTTTAATATAGGAGTTAAATACAAACTCCTAGAAAACTTGTAGTTTCGACAATGGCTGTAGGATCAGGTTTCAGCCAACTTATCATATCGTGAAACTCCATAAGCAGCTAATCTACGGATGCTAGTTCGCGTCTCAAACGAATCCGAGCATACCGAACACATAAAATATGTCAGTGAGGTTGCTCAGCAATGGCTGCCATCACCCAATCCAATTCCGAGGTCTAACCACCGCATCGCGCGGTCAGTAGCAGTCGGATTTGTGATTCAGACGGAAATCATGGCGAGGTGGCCATTAGCACGTCTGCGCGGAGAGAGGAAACTCGACTGTTGCCTGCTGCGAACCCAACACGCACGAGACGGACGACGTTTACCGTCACTGTGTCTCGTGTGCTTCCGCGGAGAGATGCCCTTCCGTCCGTTCATGCGGTGCCATGATACCGCCTCGAGTCGCGGAATTTCTTGGTGTAATCGCAACCGTCGATAAGCTTAGACACTGACGGTCATAATTGCCTTTCGAATCAGATATGTCATTCCGTCCGTTCAAGCGGTGCCGTGATACCGCCTCGAATCGCGGCCGCTTCGTGCAATCACCGTCGTCGACCAAGCTTGAATACCGACGGTCACGATTGCTCGGGGAGATGGGTCTCCGCACCCCTTATCAGCTGCCGCTGCTCGAGGCTTCAAATAGGCCCGGCCCTGTGAGCGTCGTCGCAGAGCTCATTGGTCGTTCGCGCGCACTGAGTGCAATTCCTTCCCTTGTCGCCATTCTTTGGCATTTGTCGCTGCTCTGCCCCCACCGCTCCCCTGCCCTCACCGCCCGCCATGGCTCGCCTTGTGCCTCTGCCGCCGCGTCTCCGTCTCGCGCTTCTCCTCGCGGCAGCCGTCGCTGCGTGCTCCCTGCTGCTCGTGCGCGTATCGGGAGCGCCTCTAGCGGGCCCGTCGTGCGTGAGCGCCTTCCCCCGGCTGTGCAAGTTCGTGGACGACCTGCGGCCGTCCATCCCCGAGCAGATCGACGCGTCCACCGGCAAGCCCATCCGCATCGGCGCCTACCAGATCCGCCAGGCGAGTCGCCACGCCTGGGCTCATTGCTTCCCGCTTCCCCTCACTCTCTCTTTGCGGCCACGACTTCTCTTTTTCATGATTCCATTTCTCTTCTGCCTCTCGCCGGTTCATTCCCCCCCCTCCCCTCCTGCCACCCCACCTCCCCCCAACCGCCCCTCGCACCCGTCACACCAACTTCTCTTCCCCCGCTCTCATGCTCCCAACCTCCCTCCTCTTCCCCCGCTCTCATGCTCCCAACCTCCCTCCTCTTCCCCCGCTCTCATGCTCCCAACCTCCCTCCTCTTCCCCCGCTCTCATGCTCCCAACCTCCCTCCTCTTCCCCGCCTCCCGCTTCTCTAGCCTGCACGTTATCGTCTCCAGTTGACATGCCTTGGCTTACCAGCCCGCGCCGTCTCTCTCGCAGCACCTCCTACTTCTAAACCGCTTTTGCCCACCCTTGTGGCCCCCTCCCCTCCCCCTCTCCCCCCAACTTCTGCAGAAGCTGCACCGCGACCTGCCGCCCACGAAGCTGTACGCGTATGGGCGGAGTGCCAGCAGCGCGCATTACCCGGGCCCCACGCTCGTGACGCGGCGAGGGGTGCCCTCGCAGGTACTTTGCTGTGGCTGCTGCTGCCGTGTCTATCCCAGGGATGATGCTTTGTCTTGGCTTGGGTTCGTGTGATAAGGTGTGTTCTGCACTGCAGGGTGAGAGCTGGTGTGACAGAGAGAGTGGCACATAGCAATGCATCAGCAATGCCAGGGAAGGTGAGCCGGACCATGTTGGACGCCAGCAACAGTGAGCGGAGTAGCTGATGTCGCATTCAGTGCATGTGCATGTGCGTTCCTCTCTTGCATTCATCTCCCGTGTCTCCCTCCCCTGGCAGGTGGTGTGGGAGAACCACCTCACGGACCGCCACCACATGTTCCCGGTGGATTACACCCTTGAGGACGTGCCTCGCCTGCTGCTGGGGGGAGTTCCCATCGGTGAGTACCGTGTGGGGGGTTTTTCAGGCCAAGTCACGCACTCTGCTCCAAGTCAGCAATTCTGGTTGGTTACATGCCAACCTGCATGCGGCTTCGTCGTTGTCTTCCCCTCCACTCACGTCCCCTCACGTCCCTTTTGCCTGCACTTCTTGATGACTCTTCACTTAACAACGTTATCCCCTCTCTCTCCCCTCCAGTGACCCACCGGCACGGGGGCGAGCAGCTGTCATGCTCGGACGGCCATCCCGAGGCGTGGTTCACGCGGCGCGGTGAGGTGGGGCGCGCCTTCAGCTCGCGGCGGTACAGCTACCCCAACCACCAGCTGCCCACCACGCTGTGGTACCACGACCACACCATCGCCATGACCCGCCTCAACGTGGCCGCCGGCCTCGCGGGCTTCTTCATCCTCACCGACCCCAAAGGCGTGGAGAGGACCCTGGGGTGGCTGCCCTCTGGGGAGTTCTCGGTGCCGCTGGCACTGGCGGACCGCCGCTTCCACGCCAACGGGTCCATTGACTACCCCACGGTGGGGGTGGTGCGGCGCGTGCACGCGCACTGGGTGCCGGAGTACATTGGAGACACCATCCTCGTCACCGGCAAGGTGGGTCGTTGTGCTGACGGGAGGAAGAGAGAAGGCAGTATGAAGCCTTTGATTAAGCGTCTCTTCATCACAGCTGTTCTTTGACTGACTTGACGACACTTCCCATGAAGTGTTATTCGGGTTCGTTGTTCCTTTCTCTTCCAGCACTTTCCCTCACCACCTCGCTTTTTCCCACAATCGTCCCCCCCTTCTCTTACTTTCCCTTCGCTATGTCCCTCCAGGTGTGGCCGTACCTGAATGTGAGGAGGGCGCTCTACCGCTTCCGAGTGCTGGGAGCAGCCAATGCACGCTTTTTCAACCTGCGCTTCGTGTGCACCACCAAGCGCAACTACCCGAACTTTGCTCCCCCTTTTACCGGAAAGAAGCTTCCAATCATTCAAGTACGGCATGCCATCATCGCTATGCATGTTTCAGTCTTCCGTGCCTTCCGCGTCTGACCCGAAGCTTGACACGAATCTGGGATGCACCCCAAAGCACATTAGATTGGGTTCAAAGGTGACCCTGCCTCCCACACACATCAGATGGCGCACCTCTCTGCGCGTCTCCCAGGCCAGCACCACCAGTAGGCTCGTCATCATCATCACATCCCACTATGTCTTCCCCCCTTCCCTCCCACACGCACCAGATCGGGTCCGACGGTGGGTACTTGCCCCGCCCCGTCAGCCGCACCTCTCTCCTGGTGGCCCCCGCTGAGCGCCACGACATCCTCGTGGACTTCTCCGCGCTGCGCTCCTCCTGTGCTGACGTCATCCTCACCAATGACGCCCCTGCGCCCTTCCCTGCGGGCGAGGCTGTGACGAACGACACGGCTGTGGTCATGCGCTTCATTGTTGACTGGGA